ACACACACACACACACACACACCCCAAAAAACAAAAAACAACAAAAAACAAGCTACTCATACAAAGCCAATCTATAATTTCAATTAATATCTAGCCTGTGGTTTCTCTCATGCTTTGTGGAGTATGAGCATTTTGTAGATTGCTAACCTTTGTACTACAGTGATAAATAAAATATATGTTAAATTTATACTTATGATTAACCGTTATTACTACTTGTCAGTTAAAGTTTGATAAAAATGTAATTAAGACATGCAAGTCATGCATGATTTCATTTTCTGGCACTGAATATAATCATTCAGTGCTTTGGTTTTTATTTAAGGCCTTTGTAGCAGTCTGTTTTCTGCTCTATATTGTAAAATTCCAGAAGGCAGGGGCTGTGGCTGTTTAAGTTATTTTGTGTGACATCATATAGGATATTCTGTGGACATGGATTTACAATTAAATTTTGCCGATAAGTAAATAATGTTTGATAATGTAACAGGATCCTTGGGGTGTTGCTTCACAGCCGAAACCTACGTGACTGGCGGCACCTTCTGTCTGAGTATTGCTCTCACCCACTGGGTTTGTTCCACCCACTCGGCTGGCCCGGCAGGCTGTGCTCGGCTCCTGCTGCTGGCCTGGATCCCATACCTGCTGAGGACGAGCCAGGCGCAGAGCGGCGAGGGGAGTGTGGGCGAGCAATCGTGGAGTCGCCCACTGAGCACAGCTAGGAACCAGGGCTGCTGCAGTGGGCCCGGCATCTCTAGGTGCCTGCACTGGCTGCTTCCAACGCTGCTGCTGAACCGAAAAAAAAAATCAGGTCACGTGAAAAGACCCTGGAGGTCGAAACATCCTTGGAGAGGTTTAGAAAGAGTGGTCGGCTGGGCGCGGTGGCTCACGCCTGTAATCCCAGCACTTTGGGAAGCCGAGCTGGGTGGATCACCTGAGGTCAGGAGTTCAAGACCGGCCTGGCCATTATAGTGAAACGCTATCTTGAAAAAAAAAAAAAAAAAAAAAAAAAAAAGAGAGAGAGAGAGAGTGGTCAAAGGGACTGGTTATGTATTCAACAGCTCTATTTTTTTTTTTTTTTTCGAGACAGTCTCGCTCTGTCGCCAGGCTGGAGTGCAGTGGCGCGATCTCGGCTCACTGCAACCTCCGCCTCCCGGGTTCAAGCAATTGTCCTGCCTCAGCCTCCGTAGTAGCTGGGACTACAGGCACGCGCCACCACGCCCAGCTAATTTTTGTATTTTTTTAATAGAGACGGGGTTTCACCATGTTGGCCAGGATGGTCTCGATTTCTTGACCTCTGATCCGCTCGCCTCGGCCTCCCGAGGTGCTGGATTACAGGCGTGAGCCACCGCGCCCGGCCGCAACAGCTGTCCTAGAAGTTAACTCTTCAGGCCAGGCCAATAACAACGGCGTCAACGTGGACCAAAGAGTATCTGCTCAGCCAAACTGTTCTCACGTTCCTGAAATGCAAAATTGTGAAGAAAACAAGTTTGATTTCAAATCATTAAGTTTCAAGGTAATTTCTTACAAAAGAATATACAATCAAAATAAATAACTTGCTATTTAAAGAAAACTGTAGAAGTTTATCACCTGACTATAAAAAAAGAATGCTAATTTTGCTCAGCTATTTGACTAATAATAAAATTATTATTTTATTATTTTATTATTATATTTTAATAATATATAATTTAATCTTATAAAAATAACGTTATTTTTAATATTAATAGTTATATTTACTAACATTATTATTTTAATATTTAATATTGAAGCTGACACTTCAATATATGGAATTTGGAGGGACATAGTCCTCTGAAATCCATAAAGTGAAGTGTCAACTCCTGGTACCTAGAATTGTAACTATATTTGGAGATAAGACCTTTAAAGAGGTAATTAAGACTAAATGAGGTCATAAGGGTGAGCACTAATCTATGTGACTATTTAGAGATAAGGTCATCAAAGAAATGATTAAATTACTCTGTGGACCTTAGGTTGGGGTCCTAAATCACAGTGCCCTCATAAGAAGATAGAGAGAGACACAAGGAATACATACACACACACACACACACACACACACACACACACACACACACACATTTGAAGACACAGGGAGAAGGCAGCCATTTGCAAGCCAGGGAGAGAAGCCTCAGGAAAAACAAAACTACCAGCACTGTGCATCGCTTTTGAATGTCCAGCCTCCAGAATTGTGAGAAACTACAAAAAGCATTGAAGAGATAATGTCATTACTTACTTGTAAAAGTCAGGATCATTGATATCTCATAAGAACTGTATTTCAGCTATTTTATTGTTTGTTTCAGATGATGATGTACTTGTAGGACAACTATAGGAATGTTTAATTCTATATACAATCCATTTAGTATATGCCATATTGGCTAAAAACTGCAGTATCTCATTGTAAAGAGGGCACAGATGTAACTCCTTCAGGGCCACTTTAAGATCTTTCTCTTAGATTCATCTCAATTATTTTAGAAAGTGGAAAGTAGATTACCAGAGGGCCTATACTAAATCTCACACTTCAATGGAATTTTGTCTTTTCTGTTATGAAGCAGAAATAATGACTATTTAATATTGAGTGCTTTTTCCTTGTGTAATGCTTTTTTTTTTTCTTTAGCAAACACTTTTTAAAACTAATGTGTATATAATTTTAGGCACTGAGCATGCATTTTATATATAGAGAGAGAATGGCTCTGGCCTAAAGGAAAGAATGAGTAACACTTACTCTTTGCCTTAAGGTAGATACAATTCAGTAGTGAACACAGACCTGAAAAGTACACAGAACTATAATATAAAGAGTAATCTAGATAAATCATACATGCTTTTAGCTGAAAAGAGATTTAAATCAATTCCAATAAACCTTTTATAGCCAAAGGGAATTGGCACTGCCATCTCAACACAAATGTTCACTGATTGATTGCTCCTGGCCTGGAGGAGCTTCTAGGCAATTAACTGGACTTATCAAAAATGTGTGCCTTCAGGGCCTACTTTCTCAGAAATGGTTACCCTTTCTTACTCTTCTACAGGGTTTTTATGTATTTATAAAATATTAGGGTTAGAAAACAGATTAAGGAAGTAGTCTTAATGTTGATTTCTCTTTTCTTTCTGGGTAAGAATAATTCTTTAATAGCCTTAATGAATATTTTATATTATTCCTCCACTACCCTAATATGATTGCCTATTCAGGGAGTCTTTGGAATACAGAGGACAAAATGTTTTTAATCATTGCCGTGGATCATTGTGACTTAGCTTTACCACAAAACCACAAGACATCTTTTCACAACATAGTCCTCAAGTTTCCCATCCAATACTATCCTAGTTCTCCTGTTAGCTGAGCTCGGTTTCTACATCTAGAATTCGTCAATTTCATGTGAAAACACCCACATATCTTGTACTCTGTACTTATGTCCACTTTTTCTTCCTTCCAACTTCAGAAAACTCTATCTCTGCAAAGTATTGACCCATTGATTATCTCCTGTCATATATTTCCAAATTTCTCAAGGTTTTCTTGCTGTAGCATAAAGTCATGATCCAGTTTTTTTTCCATCTTAAAACAAATTTGCCTCCAACATGGGTACTTCTTTAATGACTAGCCTATCCAATTTTATTTAAGCATTGCTCTAATTGTTTTGTTTCTGGGTTTCGGCGTGCAGGGGAGGTTTACCTTGCCCCCTCCAGTGGACTCCAGGCTCTTGGTCTCTCACTCACCCAAGAATGGGAGAGGGGACCACGCCAGGTGCCGTGTGCTTATAAGTAAATATCTGACTCCAAAAACTTTTTGCAGAAAGTGATTTATTTAGGCAGAGAAACAGAAAAAGGAGAGAGAAAAAGATGAGAAAGAAAAAGCTTCCACAAAAGTAGTGGAAGGGGACCCAAGTATGGCATGCAAAAGGGTGTTCAAGAAGGGAACTTTTAACCTGGGAGGAATTCCCACCTTCTCCAAGCCCCGGGCCTATGAAAGGAGTTCCTTTAAACTGCCTCTGGAGTGATTGATCTTTGATCCTTTCCTGAGCGCGCCAAAGTTAAACAAAGACCCTTAAGTCTCCTGGATGGAGATGTGGGAGAAGGCAAGTAGGGCATGTCGCTGCGAAGTTCCTGCTCTGGAAACTACGCCCCCTTGTGGACCCAGGAAGAGAATACATTCCCTCAGCTTGCCTCCTTTTTCACTCTAACCTACTTCAATCCAGTTAACACTGAAATGACTCTGACCGCTAGTAATTTCCTAATTACTGAAATGGATTGGCTCACTTAGTTTTCAAGCTACTTGACCTATAAAGCATTTGTCACTGTTAATAATCTACTTTGAAAAACTTTTAATATTTTTTTTCTTTGTTGCTTTTCCTACCATATCTCCTGTATTTCACCCCTCTCTGACTGTTTCTTCTGTCTTTTTGGTAGCCACTATTCTTCGGTATACATACTTGGAACACAATGTGGAACAAAAACGACGAGCAATTTCCCTTGTAAGATGTAATGGAATACAAAAGATGCACACAGACTTGTCTCCCAGTACAGGATAAAGTCACAAATCTTTAGCAAAGCATATGACATTTGGCCTTACCTTTTCCATAGCTTACATCTTCTCGCACTTCAAATAACAACACCGTAAGTTCAACTGTTATTAAAATCTTCAGTGAATATTCATTTCTTGAAGTTTTAACATTTATTTCCTTTACATTAATTTGGATTATTTATCCACTTTTAAAATCTTGGCCCAGTACATTTACATTCTACTCACCTACTAACCACTGCATCTTCCATGGAAAAATCTGATACCCTGTTGATCTGACAAGTTACACATTCTGTCCTATGCATATGAATCGCTCCTTAACTATTGGAAAAATCTAATATCCTAAAAATCGACCCCAGATATCCTATATACAGTGATTAGAGGCTGTTATATAGAGTAAATCATCATCATTTTATTCTCCATGATATAAAATCCATTTCTACTTTGGTACAATTTTTTTTCTTTTCTTTTTTTTTCTGTCCTTCTTTCCCTGTGTCTTGTTGCTTGAGGATAGAACCAGAGGATGGGAAACTACTGGCACCGAAGACAGGATGCCGAGGAGGGCAGAACCCTTTCCCTCTTCCTCTGTACATTACAGGGAGTGGAACCACAAGCCCAGTCCCTGCCAAGAAAAGGAGGGTTGGTACAATTTTTAACAGCCTGTAATCATTGTATACTTCTTTTTTAGTTTGTTAAATAATTCTCATAAAAAAAATTAGAGCAGAGAAAACAGTTTTTTCACACTTCTCCCTCAAACATGCACGTGTGCACACACACACACGCATGTTTCTACTATTAATATCTTCAGATTATGACAAAATACTGATGCATTATTGCTAATAAAAATTCATAGTTTACATTGAAGTTCACACTCTTATGAAATAGTTCTATGGTTTTAACAAGTGCATAATGTTATATATCCATAATTTTAGTATTATACAGAATAGTTTCACCACCCAGACATCCCCTGTGCTTAATTCAGTCTTCCTACCCCCACTTTTTCCAGATCCCTGAAATCCACTTATATTTTCTTCATTGCCATAATTTTGTCTTTTCCATGATGTCACACTCTTAATACACTAGGTAGCCTTTTCAAACTGGCTTCTTTCACTAGCGATATGAATTTATGTTTCCTTCATATTTTGGGGGGATTGATAGTTCTTTTGTTTTTTTAATTGCCGAATAATATTTCATTGACTGTAGCACAATGCGTTTACCCATTCACTCACTGAAAGTTATATTTGTTGTTTCTAATTTTGGGCTGTTAGAGATAAATCTGCTGTAAATATTAAAGTGAACATTTTCGTGTGGACATATGTTTTAAAATCAGTTGAGTAAATGCCAAGCATTGCTGTATTGCGTGGTAAGACTATGCTTACTTTTAAAGACATTTCTTACCAAATATTTCAAATTGTCTGCACCATTTTACATACCCACTAGAAAGGAACTAGAGCTCCTGTTGGTCTGCATATTCCCCTACAATTGGCATTGTCAGTTTTGTTCTGTCTTTAATTTTAGGCTTCTTAGAGATGTTTCGTAACATCTGATTTGTGCATTAACTTGTAATTTCCTAGTTACACATGTTGTTGAACTTTTATAAATATATATTCATTTGTCATGTGCATGTCTTCTTTGGTAAAGAGTCTGTTCAGATTTTTTTCCCATTTTTTATTGGGTCATTTGTGTTTTATGATTAAATTTCAAGGAAATTTTGTATATTTAAAAATAAGTATTTTTCAGCATGTGTGTCACAAACATTTCCTCTATGTTTGTGGGTCATATCTACACTCTCTTAACAGTGTCTTTAACAGAACAGAAATGTTTAATTTTAATAATTTTAATAAAAGTTCAACTGATCATTTTTATCTTTTATGGATGATGCCTATAGTATTGTATCTAAAAAGTTATAAACAGAAATCTGAGATTTTCTACTATGTAATCTTTTGTAAATCTATAATAAGTTTGTATTTTTACATTTAGGCCTGTGATTTGCTTTCAGTTAAGTTTTGTGAAAGTTGTGTGATCTGAGTCTAAATAATTTTTTTCTGTTTTCTTTTTGCACATGGATGCTTAGTTTATTCCAGCACTTTATTCAAAGAACTATCCTTTCTTCATTGACTTGCCTTTGCTCCTTTGCCAAAGATCAGTTGACCATATTTGTAGTGCATCCATTTTTGGCTCTATTCTCTTCTATTAGTCTACTTTTCTACTATTTTGCTAAGATTCTGCAGTCTTTGTTATTATATGTTTATACTGCAGCAATATATTAAGTCTTCAAGTTGAATAGTTTTGGTCTTTGCACTTCTTCTTTGTTGTTGTATTGGTTATTTTGGGTCTTTTGTCTTTCTATGAAAACTTTAGAATCAGTTTATCAATGTTTACGAAGTAACCTGCAAAGATTTTAAATCAGATTGCAATGAACATACAGATCAAATTAGGAGAAACTGACATTTCAGCAATATTGAGCCTGCCTATACATGAGCATGACATGTTTCTCCATTTATTTATTGTTCATTTATTTATTCAGTTTTTCATTTTTCTCATATAGATCCTATATATATATATATCTTATTAGAATTACCTACATATTTCACTCTTTGTTGGTGATAATTTAAATTATCATGTGTTTTAACTTTGATATCTGTATTAGTCCATTCTCATGCTGCTGATAAAGACATATCCAAGACTGGGTAATTTATAAAGAAAAAGAGGTGTAATGAACTCACAGTTCCACGTGGCTGTGTTGACCTCACAATCATGGTGGAAGGCAAAAGGAGTGTTTGACATGGCAGCAGGCAAAGAGAAAATGAGAGCCAAGTGAAAGGGGAAACCCCTAATAAAAACATCAGATCTTGTATAAGACTTACTACCATAACTGTGTGGGAGAAACTGCCCCATGATTCAATTATCTCCCACTGGGTCTCTCCACAACGTGTGGGAATTATGGGAGCTACAGTTAAAGATGAGATTTGAGATTTGGGTGGGGATACAGCCAAACCATATCAATATCTAATCTTCAATTCTTATATATAAGAAAACAACTTTATTTTTTATATCAACCTTGTATTCTGGAATCCTGCTATAAATTCTCATTAGTGCCACATTTGTCATTGCTTTTGTTTGTGATTTATTGGGATTTTCTACATAGGTAAACATATCATCTATGAACACTGGCAGCTTTATATTTTTTTATTTCCCAATATGTATAACTTTTATTTTCTTTATTTGTCTCATCACATTAGCTAGAATTTCCAGAAGGCCATTGAATGGAGTGGTTAGAGAGAACATCCTTTTTGCTCCCATTCTCAAGGGAAAGGCACCTAGTTTCTAACCATTAAGTATGACCGTAGCAGTAGTTTGTTTTGTTTTGTTTTTGTAGATGTTTATAATCTAGTATTAGAAGTTCTCTTTATTCCTAATTGGCTGAGGATTTCTTTTCTTATAAATGGGCTTAGAGTTTTTTAATTGCTGTTTCTGTGTTGATATTATCATATTTTTTTCATATTTACCTTGCTGATATGATTGATAACATTAATTGATTTTTGACTGATGGCAATAGCTTTGCATACATGAATTATATCCTGCTTGGTTGTAGTGTATGACCATTTTTATACGTTGCTGGATTCTATTTGCAAATATTTTTAAGAATTGTTGCATCTGTGTTAATGAGAAATGTTGCTCTATAATTTTCCATTTCTGTAATGTCTTTGTCTGGTTTGGGCATTGGGCTGATGATATCTTCATAGGATGAGTGACAATATGTTTCCCCTCTTTTTATTTTCTGATAAAGTGTGAAGATAATTGGGATGATTTATTTTATTTTATTTTAGAGATGAGGTCATGCTTTGTTGCCCAGCCTTGACTTGAACTCCTGAGTTCAAGGGATCCTCCTGCCCTGGCCTTCTGAAGTGCTGCCATAACAGGTATGAGCCACCACACAAGGCAGAATGATTTATTTTTAAATGCTTGTTTGAATTCACAAGTAAAATTATTTGGGTCTGGAGCTCTATTTTGTACAAGTTTACTATTAATTGATTTGATTTAATGAATAGATACATTCTTATTCAGATTATCATTCTGTGTATTTATCCTTTGTAAGATTATGTATCTTTGTATGAGTTTTGGTACTTTGTGTCTTGCAAAATATCAGTCTCTTTTAGTTATCAAGTGTAAGGGCATAAAATTGTTCATAATATTCTTCATTGTGCTTTTTATGTCGTTGTATCAAAATACTAATTGCTTTTTAAATTGTGATATTATTAGTAATTTGTGCTTTTTTTCACTTGGTTAGCAAAGATACCAAAATTTTTTCTCTTTTCTAATAATCAGCTTTTTGTTTTGTTGACTTCATCTATGGATCTCTTTTCAAATTCATTGATTACTACTGCTATATTTGTTTATTTTCTTCTGCTGGCTGTAGACTTATATTTCTGTTCTTTCTCTTGTTAATGTAGAAGCTTAGATTATTTATTTTAGATCTTTTATTTCATACATGCATTTAATGCTATAAATTTTCTTCTCAGTATTGGTTTAACTGCATCCCACAAATTTTGACAAGTTGCATTTTTATCTTCATTTAGTTCAAAATTTTGTTTTTTTGTTTTTTTAAAAATAGTTTCATCTTTTATTTTAGATTCAATTGGTTCATATGCAAATATGTTACATGGGTATATTGTATAATGCTAAGGTTTGGGGTACAGATAATATCACCCAGGTAGTGACTATAACACTCAAAATATAGTTTTACAATGCAGTGGTCTCCTCCTTACTTATCTCTACTAGTAATCCTCAGTGTCTGTTATTATGTCTATGCATACTCAGACTTCAGCTCCCACATATAAGTAAGGACAGGAGGTATTTGGTTATCTGTGGTGCGTTAATTCACTTAGAATAATGGCCTCCAGCTGCGTCCGTATTCCTGCAAAAAGCATTATTATTTTTTCTTTTTTTTTTATGGCTAAATGGTATTCCATTGTCTATATTTACCACACCAATCCATGTTTAATAGGCACTCATGTTAATTCCATATTATGTTATTTTAAAGAATGCTGAGATGAACATAAGAGAGAATGTGTCTTTTCCATAGAAAGAATTATATTTCTCTGGAAATGGAATTGGTGGGTCAAATCATAGCCCTTTTTAAAATTCTTATGAGAACTCTCCAAACTGACTTCCACAGTGGATGAACTAATTTACATTTCTACCAACGGTGTATATGCATTCCTTTTTCTCTGCAACCTTGCCAGCAGATTATTATTTTTCATCTTTTTAAAAATATTTTTGTCCGTTATTTTTTGACTTTTTAACAATAGCCATTCTGACTGGTGTTAGATGACATCTCATTGTGGTTTTGATTTGCATTTCTCTGATGATTAGTTATGCTGAACTGCTGAACATTTTTTCATATATTTGGTGAGGACTTTTTTGGTTAGCCATTTGTATGTCTTCCTTATGGAAGTTTCTGTTGATGTCATTTACTCATTTTTTAAGTTGGTTGTTTCTTGCATGCTGAATTAAGTTTCTTAGATTCTGTGTATTAGACCTTTCTTGAATTCATAGTTTGTGAATATGTTCTTCAAATCTGTAGGTTGTCTGTTTACTCTTTTGATGGCTTCTTTTGCTGTGCAGAAGCTTCTCAA